AGAGGATTTGATAAGTAGGTTTGGGGAAATTGTGGTGAGTGATGTGGTGGAAGAATTTAATAAATTGCAACAGATCGGAACTGTGGAAGAGTTTTTAGGACGATTTGAGGATCTAAAAGCTCAAATGCTTATACGAAATCCGGCTTTGAATGAAGCTCACTTCCTATCTAGTTTCGTTGGAGCACTAAAAGAGGAGATCAGATTAGAGGTGAAAATGTTCAAATCGAGGACATTGAAGGAAGCTGTAGAGAAAGCAAGAATGAAGGAAATGGCAAATGAAGCTGGCCGACGGAGCAATAGAGTAGCAAACCGAGTGTTGCTGGCAGCTGTGCTAGGAGTAGGAAAAACATCTACTGCAATGGTTAATCGGAATGGACGTTATCGGCTTACTCTTGAGACATACGAGTTTAGGAAGTCGAATCACTTGTGTTTCCGATGTGGAGAGAAATATGGGAGACACATTTGCAAAGTAAGGCAGTTGAATTATTTGACTGGTTCTGTTGAGGGGATAAAGAAGGTGATCAAGTTTCAGAATTGGATGACAATGAAGACATTACCATTGAAGGAGTAGTTGAACAAGAGGTACAACAGGCTGTTTGTTTAAATGCATTGACGGGCCATAATATGGGAGAAAATACAATTCTGGTGCGAGGAACTGTAAAGAAGAGACACTTGGCAATACTGATTGATTCGGGAAGCACTCATAGTTTCATCGACAAGCACACATTAGCTGCATCGGGTTACAAGCCCCAGCCTTGTTCGCCTGTACGAATAACAGTGGCGGATGGCAATTACGTAATGTGTAATTCTCATTGTAGAGGGTTTTCGTGGAAAATGCAGGAAAGGATTTTCATGGAAGATTTGCTCATTATTTCTTTGGGAGGCTGTGCTTTGGTGTTGGGAAACGACTGGATGAAGAAACATAATCCGACTAAGTTCGATCATGAGCGGAAGTGTGTGACAATAAGAAGGAAGGCTAATAAGTTGGTGCTGCCAGGAATAGCAGGAGAAGGAAGTTTATCTACTGGATCAATGCGAAAAATGTTGAAGAAAGGTCAAGCTATAGTTGCTCATCTTTTTATGATGAACATGATAAAAAACAGTGAAGATGAACTAATTGAAGAAGGACTGCAGGAAGTGTTAAATAAATATGAGGACATCTTTGCGGAACCAAAGTCTTTGCCACCGAAGAGATTGTTTGATCATACGATACCCCTCAAACCAGGAGTTGTACCTGTCAATTTGAGACCCTATCGGTATATTTTCCATCAAAAGATGAGTTGGAGAAGCAAGTAAAAGAGATGTTAAGCAGTGGAATCATATAGGCTAGTCAATCGCCTTATTCATCACCGGCATTGTTAGTAAAAAAGAAGGATGGTACCTGGAGGTTTTGTGTCGATTATAGAGGGTTAAATGACTTAACCATTAAGGACAAGTATCCAATACCAATTGTTGACGATTTGTTAGATGAACTGCATGGAGCGTCGATATTTTCTAAGGTGGATTTGAGAGCTGGGTATCATCAATTTAGGATGAAGATGGAAGATGTACACAAGACTGTATTTCGTACTCACATGGGCCATTATGAGTTTCGAGTAATGCCCTTCAGACTCACTAATGCCCCAGCAACATTTCAAGCCTTAATGAACCAGATTTTTCGTTCGTTTATCCGGCCAGAAGTTTGTCTTAGTATTTTTCGATGATATACTAATCTATAGCAGAAACAAGGCAGAACATTTACAACATCTGCAAGTGGTGTTTAATATTTTGAGAATGAATGTGTTGTTTCCAAAGAGATCTAAATGTTCTTTTGGTCAAGCTAAAGTGGAGTACTTAGGCCATGTTATTACTAAGGAAGGGGTGACTACTGGTCCTCATAAGATTCAAGCTATGGTGGATTGGCCTAGACCCAAGACTTTAGGGGCTCTAAGGGGGTTCCTTGGTTTAACCGGCTACTATCGAAAGTATGTACAGAATTATGGAACCATTAGCAGGCCACTCACTGATTTGTTAAAGAAAGAAGCCTTCAAGTGGAATAGTGAGGCCGAAAATGCATTTGAGAGTCTTAAAGAAAGCTATGACGACTACACCGGTGTTGGCTCTTCCAGATTATACTCAAGAATTTGTGGTGGAAACTGATGCGAGCCATGGGGGTATTGGGGCTGTGCTTATGCAACAAGGGAAGCCAATTGCGTTCTTTAGTAAAGTGTTGGCTCCTAAACATCGAGGTAAATTGATTTATGAAAAAGAGTATATGGCTCTACTTAATGCGGTGGACAAGTGCAGACATTATTTACAGTTTAAACACTTTGTTGTTAAGACTGATCATCACAGTTTGAAATACTTGTTAGAACAACGAGTGACTTCGGCTATACAACAGAAAGGTTTAACAAAATTGTTGGGTCTTGATTATGAGGTGCGTTACAAAAAGGGCGCCGAGAATAGAGTGGTTGATGCTCTATCTAGGCCACAAGAAGGATTGCAGGCAGACGAGATTTCGGAGGTAGGATTATTGATGGCTGTGAGTATGATCACGCCCATGTGGATTCAAGAAATTATGCACAACTATAGTGAGGATTCGTTTGTTCAAGAGTTAATGACCTTGTTATCAGTAGACACACACGGGCCTAGTTTGTGGCATAATGTTAATGGTGTTTAGAGGCGAAAAGGCAAGGTTTATGTGGGTTCTCAAGGGCCTTTACGGCAGCAGCTCATTTCCAATTTTCATGATACTCCTTTGGGTGGGCATTCGGGTCAGTTCGGTACTTTGAAGAGATTAACTCAATATTTCTATTGGCCTAAAATAAGGACTATGGTGAATGACTATGTGGCTCAGTGTGAGGTATGTCATCGTAACAAAGACGACAATGCAGCATATTCGGGTTTACTTCAACCCTTGCCGATTCCGAATCAAGCTTGGAGTCATGTTAGCATGGATTTTATTAGAGGGGTTACCAAAGTGTCAAAATAAAAGTGTGATCTTGGTGGTGGTTGATCGTTTTACCAAGTACGCTCATTTTATAGTTATGGCTCATCCCTTTACTGTTGTGACAGTGGCTGAATTGTTTTGGAAGCAAATCCACAGGTTACATGGAACTCCCGAGTGTATTGTATCTGATCGAGACAAAGTATTTTTGAGTAAATTCTGGCAGGAAATGTTTCGGCTATTAGGTACACAGTTGCATTATAGTTCGGCCTATCATCCTCAGAGTGATGGCCAAACTGAGCGAGTCAATCGATGTTTGGAGAACTATCTTCGTTGTATGACTGCTAATCGACCTATTCAGTGGAAGAAATGGTTGTTTGCTGCAGAATGGTGGTATAACACCAACTTCCATACAGGCTTGCAATGCACTCCATTTGAAGCGTTGTATGGATATACTCCGCCTCAACTTTCGATCGGACCTCTTCTGGAAACAGTAGTACAGGCAGCAGAGGATGTAGTGATGCATGGACAACAGTTTCTTCAGTTACTAAAGGATAATCTCGCTACTGCCCAAGCTCGGATGAAATTTTTTGCAGATAAGAGAAGAAATGAGCGTGAGTTTGCAGTCGGCGATTGGCTTTATTTGAAACTTCAACCTTATAGGCAGACTTCATAAGCTTTGAGAAGAAATTTAAAACTTAGTTCTAAGTACTACGGTCCATATTTAATACTTGAGAAGGTGGGGTTAGTGGCTTACAAATTAGCTCTACCTATGCAGTCTAAGATTCACCCGGTATTTCATGTATCGTTGTTAAAAAAGAAGATGGGCGATCGAGTGGTGGTACAGTCAGAGTTGCCTTATACAAATGATACAGGGCAGTTCTTGGTGAAACCAGTGGCTATTTTGCAGCGACAAATGGTCAAATGTAACAATGTGGCAGTGGTGCGCGTACTAGTGCAATGGTCTAATCTTCCACCTGAGGATGCTACGTGGGAGGATTATGAATTTTTGCGCGCTAAGTTTCCCGGTTTTGACTCTATTCCTTGAGGTCAAGGATTCTTTGATGCGGTGGGGAATGTTATGAAGTGAAGATCAGTGTAGAAAAATTATGGAGAGGTGGGGATTCGATATCGGAACAAGGCTACAGTAGTAACTGAATTTCGGAAGAAGTAACTAACGTTAGAAAGGAACAGCTAGGATTTAATGGGAAGCAATGGTGAGGATGATGCCATGTGGATTGAAGGTGGTTATATAATAGTGGTTAGAGGAGAGAGAAAGGTAACTAAAATTTGGAAAAGTCAT